CGAAGCAAAGAAGCAAGCATAACAACGCACGAGTCACGGTCATGGTTGTCTGAGCAGCAGTGACAGGAGTAGTATTGAAGTCAGACATCTTTAAGGCTTCGCGGCGGTCTCAACCGCAGCGGCGTTTGGCTCTAATTGTCCTCATCTGCATTAGCTTGTAGTTATTTCTGTCTATCTGTCTTCATGTCAACTGTTGTCTTGTCATAGTCTTCACCTGTCTCCGTTTGCGCTTTAATTATGAGGTGTCTTGATAAATCTGTATCCTGTTGCTCGCCTGGGACCTTGTGGTCTTGGTCCAACCCCAATCGCCCTGCCCCCCGTCCCAAGCCCCCGCCTCGCCTCAGAGCACGAAACTCAAGAACCTAACGCGCAACCGCAAAATTCAAGCCACCCTGAAACCGCCAGGGCGTTAATCTAAACCTCAGGCAGATGCGGCACATGTTTGTCAAAATGGCGAGACATCGGGCAGATCATCTTAAATATATTTCTTGAGCTCCCGACAATGATCTCAAATGCAGGGGGAGTAAGGGGAGACTGCACCCCCCCTCAAGTCCGCCCGAACTCGTTTTGAGTGTTTTCAACCTTTGCAAAATTTAAGCGAAAGCCTTTGAATGTTTGGGAAGCTTCGCTACAACTGTGTTACAAAGTTTAAAGTGTTCATTTAAACAATTTCTCTAGTGAGCATTTATTTGCTTCGATTTGCTCTGCTGCGCAAACTTTGATATTCCCTTGTCATTTTTGTGGTCAACCGGTCTCTTAATTGAGCTATATAGCTGAAGTTGGTCTTCGTTTGACGTCGCTGGTCCTCGCTTGTCTTACATAGGGTTGTGGGCCCTGAGGTTGAAAGCCCTGTGGTTTTGAGGGTGTCGCAACTACCGAATGAGGAAAGTAATCCACTCCTCCGACCACCCTACTATGAAAACACAGTCCCGGGAGGCTATACTTTCCCAAACGCGCCGGAAAAGGAGTTTAAAAGGGCCGAGAGGGATTCTGATTCGGGGATATAAGGAAATGTTAGGGAGACGCTAGGGATCCTTCCAGGGTATAGAGGGTTGGAACATGTTGGAACCCGTAACTGTAAGGAAGCTCTCTCTCTCTCTCTCTCTCTGCTATCTTTCTCTCTGGGGCGGACTTTAGGTTTAGGGAATATCCCATCATTCGAAACCTGACGATTGCAAGAGCGAGTGTGTACTGGAGCCCGTGGGTTGAGTTCCCTTTCCTCTCCGAGTTTAAATCTTCGGATTATCCCAGCATCCGACTCTCGTGATTGCAAGAGCAAGTGTTTACTTGAATGCATGAGATGAGTTGACTGCAAGAACTGCAGCCAGCAAGGTTCGCGGGGAATGTAGGGCTGCAGGCAGGCATTACCCGGGAACTGCAGGCTGCAGCAAACGCAGGAACGCAGCACCGCAGAGTCTGCGGCCAGCCCCGGGCCGCGCTTAGAATAGTGAAGATGTTCAAAGTCAAACAGACCAACCACGTACTAAAACCTATTTCAAGCAAACCCCGTTATTATACCTGAGGGGGGGTAACAACCCTCGAAGCCTGACTTAGCTTGCACCGTTTCGGGCGAAACTTCATGCTCTCTGCAGCGTGAGCTCAGGCCCAATCGCCTTCACGAGTTCGGGTTCATGAAATAGGGTCATGATAGGGTCGGGCCAGAATGGGCCCCCATAGTAGTTATGGCAGGCTTGCGTATTATGATATCGGTATGATCGGTATGTTAGAGAGTATAATTGCAGGAACTTGTCTGCGGGGAAAGCTTACAGGACCAATGCCCGCCAGAACCTAAACTCCGAAAGTCGAGAGCAGGGTTCAGGGTACGGTGAATGCCCTCCAGATAACACTGTACACCTTGGCGAGCTGAGTCGTATGCGTTTGGCGGCTTTCGAGGCGTATGTCAATGGGGGGTCCAAGGAGGCGTATCGGGCCACTTGCAAATCAGCTAGGCGGGAAATTCGGTCCATCATGAACCGTTGGTGGCGGAACAAGGCGGCATTGAGTCAGGAGCAGGTCGATGATAAAGAACCACACGCGGTTTATGCTGGGCAGCGCGAGCTTAAGGATGTGATTTTTCATCGTCGGCGGCGTCCGAACAAACTCAGGAATGCAAAGGGACAGTTTCTTCTCACTAAACCTGATCGCTTGCAACGGTGGTATGAGTACTTCAAAGACTTGCTGAATGTCCATGGGCACTGTAAAGAGTCCAACTTCGATTTCTTGCGCAGGGATACGGTGTCGTCTGAGGTAGGGCAAGTTCCACAGTTTGCTGAAACAGTCGCGGCGGTACATAAATTGAAAAACGGAAAGGCTACGGGTCCAGATGGGTTGCACCCGGAGGTTCTCAAGTGTCTCGATGTTGTGAATCTGCGCATTTTGCATGAGCATATCTCTCGGGTGTGGCGCGGGCTTGCTCCTATGCCTCAAGAATGGTTGGATAACTATTTGATACCTTTGCCAAAAAAAGGGGATCTCACGTACTGTAAGCGCTGGCGTGGTATCTTGTTAGCTTCCTGCGCAGGTAAGGTCTTTGGCAAAATTTTACACGCGCGTCTGTATCGTCATGCGGAAGCGAATGATCTCATGCCGGAAACCCAAGCTGGCTTTCGAGCTGGCCGGAGCACTATCGATATGGTTTTCGTACTGCGGATGGCACAGGAGATCTCCCGTACAAAAGATCATCCACTATATGTGGTGTTTGTGGACTTGGTCACGGCATACGACAGTGTTGTGCGGGCTGGCTTATGGAAGGTTTTACTTATCAAAGGCATGCCGTCTAATGTCGTGGCGCTATTGCAGTGCTTATATGGAGGATAAAATGGTCCGCGTTTCTGCTGCAGGGGAACTTACGAATGAATTCCAGCTGCAAACTGGGCTACGGTCGGACAAGGTTGTTGCGTTGCGCCACTCCTGTTTAATATTTTCTTTGCTGCCGTGCTAGAACAGTGGCGTGCTGTGGAGGGGAGGCGCTTGAAGTGGGGAACCAGGGTTGATGGCATCCTTCGTCGGCAGAGCCTCCATAAATATGGCTTTGAACCGTGTGATTTGGCTGAGCTTGGATATGCTGATGATTTGGCTCTTCTGGCTGATTGTTACGATATGTTGCGCCGTCTCACACAGGAGTTTCAGCTGCATGTTTCCTCCTGGGGGCTCATTTTGTCGGTTGAAAAAACCAAAGCCTTGTGCACCACAAAGCCGCAACAGCCTCCTGTTCCGGTTGTGGAATATGATGGTTTTGATCACGTCCAGTTCGAGCAGTCCTTTGAGTATCTGGGTTGCGACATCAAGTTCGACGGAGATTGCTCTGTCAATATTTTCAACAACATTAGCAGCGCACGCAAAGCATTCTGGGGGCTGGCTCAAACGGTCTGGTACGTGCAGGAGTTATCGTTGTCTACGAAGATGTATGTGTTTAGGGCCAACGTGATTAGCACGTTGCTGTACGGTTGCGAGACTTGGACTACCACGTTCCAAACACGGAGGAAGCTTCGCGGATTTATCATGATGTGTTTGCGTGTCATCTCCCGTGTAACACGATGGCAACAGCAATTGTGGCATTTGCACAACGATGCGCTGCGGGCTTGGTTAGGCGTTCCGGATATTGTTGCCCTAATCACTCAATCGCAACTGCGGTGGCTGGGACATGTTGCGCGTATGCCGGTAAACAGGTTGCCGAAACGCATTCTCAGTGCCTTTCTTCCTGACTCCGTCGGCACGCAGCGACCCCCGGTCGTCTAAAGGGTAAATGGTATCGTCAAACGTTGATAGAGGCGCTGCGTACAGGCGACATCGCGATGAACGCGTGGATGCAGCTTGCTGCACAAAACCAAGGGCGTGATTGGAAGCTTTCCACGCGACGGGTAGCTCTATGGTTTAAGCCACATAGGCCCAAGCAAGGTATTGAGCCTCCCTGTCGTGATAGGGAAACTAAAAGCATTCTGGGCCGCAGTCCGGCTGTCGTTTTCGCCGCGGCTGTCGTTCCCAAAACTGGATCAATGATCAAGATACTCTAGCGGCCGGTTTCTTCAAACTTGAGGCGCAAGGCGTTGGCGGTCTCCCGTTAGTGGATGCGTTTGCTTCAAAAGCTGCGTCGTTGTGTGGGGATAACTGGGCGTCGGCGGATTTTGATGATGTTTTTGCGGCCGTAATGGACACCGATCCGTGGGAAGAACACGTCGTTCATGAACTTGACCTGTGTCTACTGCGTTTCGTTGGTCTCTCAGTGCGCAGGCTTTGGCTGCAGGATTGAATCACTTATCCACGCGGTTGGAACAGCAGTCTTTGTTGCTCCCGGACGTTCGACCCGCACGCCGTCGAATCCGTGCCAAACTGACTCCTCCCCCAGCGTATGATGACTCAAACAATGCTCATGATCTGCCGCCGGTGCCAGTAGTCCCGCGTATGCGTGCTCGGTATACTGGATGGGCAAGGAGTACAGTAACAGGGAGGGTGCCAGTTTTGCTTGTCCTATAGCTGGATGTTCTCGAAAGTATACCACGAAAAGCGGTCTAGGACACCATCTCATCTTGTCGCATCGGGGTAGTACTTTTCGGGAGACTGGGTGGGATTGTCCGCATTGCTGTCGCTCGTTCGAAAGCGAAAGCGCGATGACAAATCACATCAGACTTCATGACTCTAACGCCTCTCCGTACATTTGTCCGGAGTGCGGTGCTTATTTTCCGGGTCGTGATTCTGTACGTATGCATATGAGTAGTGCGCATCCCCTTAGTCATGACATGCTGCCTATCACGTGTGCATACTGTCTCCGTGACCATGGTGTAGAACAGGTTTTCATGCACCTGCACGGTTTCCGCATGCATCTTCTTAGTGAGCACAGTCAGTGATATGTTCCTGCCTGCCGTAGTGTCTTGGACCGAGTTTTTGCTAGTGCTTCCTGCCTTGCCTAGACTCCGTTGCTTCGTAGTCGTCGGGTGGTGACCGTACTCGTGATCGCGATCGCGGTAGCGGGCGTGAACGTGAGCGTGAACGCGGTCGCCGAGGAGGGGAACGACGTGACGACAGCGAGCGTGTGGTTGAAGACTCCTCAGTGGGCGAACGTCTTGACCTGCTGGAGTCCAGGCTTGAGTCGACAGCTGCCCTTGCCTCCTCTACCGCTTTCCGCGTCGGAAACGAGAGCTCGCGTCGGTCACTTGTCTACTTCGTGCAAGGGGACCTTAAGTCACGCCTGGAAAGGAAGTGGGCTACATGGCAACGGAACGCAGCCCTGCCAGTACAACAGCGCCCGAAAGAGAAGCCGACTCCCTGGAAGCTTCAAGTGTACGCCGAGTTCCTGGACTATGTTGAGTCTGCGATGGCTAGCGGCCCTTCTGCTCTGTCAGGCGAAGCGGCGTTGGGACCCTTACTTCAGTCCGCTGCGGCGATCGAGGCGGCGAATCATGGACCTCCGCAGGAGGACAGAGCGTGGCCTATTGTGCTGGTCTTCAGGAACAGCGAGACCGGACAGGCAACTCGCGACCATTGGTTGCTGGATCAATTCAGACCCTATTTGGGTAAAGAGCACGAGCTTGGTGTGCGTCCAGCGAGGTACATGGCGTCGGGGGTCCACAGGAAGGTCACGGACTTTCTTCCGGGCAAGGGTGGTGGATAAGGGTCGGGTAAGCGTTCACCGAAACGGGAGTTAGAAGGGCCTGACAGGGCAGACCGCTCTAAAGAGCTTCGGCGTTGACTTCCAGGACGGCGGGTTTCTTTCTCTTGCTGTATGTCTTGTCTGGCGTGCGGTGCCGTCCGCATTGCCTTGTTTCATGCCCGGTGCCGTCCGGAGCATGCTGTCTCCGTCGGGTGCTGTCCCGCGGAGGGTTCCGTTCGTCGTCTCGTGTCGCGCCGTCGTTCTGCGTATCGTTTTGGTATCTACGCCTGCTGTCGGTCCTATTGATCTAGTGTCGGTCTTGCTGCCTTTTGCCTGTCTGCTACTTTCTGCTTGGTCTCAGTACCGCTGCTGCTATTTTCAGTCCTTTCCCCTGCGCCCTGGTTTAGATGACAGTTCCCTTAGCTTTCCCTTCCATACGAGTCGAGGTATCCTTTGCTGACCCCTGTTTTTAAGATGTTTGAACTGTTTCACGCACTCAAGTCCTTTAACAGGACAGACGAGTGGTCCACAGAATGCCCTCCATGTACGAATGTGTACGCGAACACAATAGGGGCGTCAATAATTACAGTACCCCTTTTTGTCCACGGGGGATAAAAGGGGCTGCTGTGACTTATGATTCAAGCCTCTCTTTTTGCCGCGGGGCTTGATGAGGCACTCCACATACTCCTGGTTGTTCCAGAACCTGGTCTTCCGAACAAAGGACCCGCCATGTCAAGGCTTAAGTAGACGAGGCTTAGGTCAATTTTCTTATCCAAAAGGCCGCCCGGCTAAGAGCCTCTTGACACTAACGGCGCTAACTACGTTATTTGCTCATATACCGGAACTTCTTTCGGAGTCAGGATATGGGATTCCTGGCCCGGAACAATCAGGATACCGACTGCGAAAGCTGCCTTCCTCAATTGCGGGACGACGGAGCAGGGGTCCTTTGTTCTGCCTCGACCCTTTGAGACTTGATGGGCTTCTCCCAAAATCTTAAACCCAGAACCTACAAAGCGCTTCTTCTGTCTGGCACAAGAAGTGCCCCCCCCCCCTGGAACAGCAAGAATGAAAACTAATCTCAGCTTTCAATGTTGCCAGCTCGCAATGGCCACTGTGGCCGACTATGGCTGACCAGGGGCGATACTGCGAAATCACTACCACGACCTCATGAAGAGGAGGGCCCTTCTGTGTGGAGTTGTACGAAAGTCCGGACTTGCTCTTCACTCGATGATGACGATAACGAGGGTCCTGATCTGTCCCGGTACATGCAACTTACTGACCGATGGTTGACAGATGACTTTGTTGTATACGTTTGCAGTGTCTAACTTAGATTGACCCACTAGTCATTTGAGAACTGCGTTGCTTGTCATTCGTGTTCAGTGGCTCACCACCAGAGAACAGGCCAGGGAGCACTGCAGCAGTGAGTGGCGACCACCCGCGATCATTCCTGGGCCAATACAGACACTTGCAGGCACAACCTCCTAACATTTGTCTAGTTCAAGGCGGCAAAGTCAGACTTAGGCTTAGGTTTTGAAACCTTACTGCACGGATTTGTTGGCGGAACACAAGGGTGTAGCATGGCTACAGAGGCTGTTGGTATGAGAGATGGTCGCAAGCTTCCGGGTGTTTTACCCCGAAAGAGACCAGAAGCCCCGAAACCAAGGTGGCACTCCCAGATCTAGCGGGGACTGCTAAGCTTCGAAAAATGCGCAGCCAGCCGTACAGAATCGCAGGCACTCTGCATCTTCTCCTTGTCTAGCAAACACAACCGATGCGCGGCCTTCCAGTATGTCTTGTCCTGACGGCTTGGTCTAGACTTTGGGCTTTTTGGGCTCCCCCATGCCAGGCAGGGCAGGCAGTCAATGCTTTGTCACTCACTCTCGGCTGGTCAGCCGGAGTGCATTGCGACTTCGTCCCGTAATGCCTAATGTAGGGGCCTCAGCAAATAGAATAGGGTTTTGGGGGGTTCCTTATTATAAATATAGTATAATATAACCCCAAACCCTATTCTAATATATTCTAATTATTAAGGCCCCTATATTACTTACGGCCAGGCCCCAAACCTACATCAGACCTTCCTGGCTTTTTGTCACCCACCTCCTGGCGTTGTAGGTACGAGCTTTACTATCGGATCTCCAGTCACAAGCTCGCAAGTTAGTCCTGGAGATGTCGATGTCTGCATGGGTTTGAGGGAAGGTAGCAACCTGCAAGTTGAACAGCTTGAAGAGGTAACGTCCAGGTCCATCCGAAACCACTGCACCATAAACCCTGGAGCCTCAGGCCAAATTTAGGCATGTCGAGTTTCATGTTCGGTGCCCTGGACAGATCTATGCTCAGAGGCGACCGGCATGGAGACTCAGGAGACTCAGGGAGCCGAGAGATTCGGAGCTTGCCGGTTTTCCATAGGGGCGACAGCTCAGAGCTCGACCTCCGAAGAAAGGGTTTAGGGCACAGGCTCTGAACCCAAAGACAGAGGATGTCAGGCAAGCCACCGATAGTTCACGCTCGCCCCCTTCATGAACAGCTCGCGCGCATCCTGCTTTAGCTGCCAGGGAGGCAGGAAGAGCTTGTGATGGTTGTTCCCTACAGAAATCACCCTAAACCCTAAGCCCCTAAACCCTAAACCCTACGCACTAAACTTCCTAAACCCTAAGCCCTAAACCCCAAGCCTCATAATACACTTCAACATCCCTGAAGCCTTGGCCGGAAAGTGTAGGCTCCTG